AACCCACGGGCTCAGGCAATCCACTCACCTCAGCCTCCCAAGGCGCGGGATTACAGGCTGAGCCACTGAGCCCGGCTCTTGTGACACTTCTGATAAGTGATTTAATCTCCCTAAACTTCAGTTTCCTTGTCAGTAAAACAGGCATCATAGGAGAATCTGCTTCCTAGGGTGCTGTGACCAGTTAATTAGTCAACATCAAGCGTCTAGTACAGTGCCCCACACAGACCAGACCACCAGGGCCTCCATGCTGCCTAAGACTGCCCTGCCAAGAATGCCTTTTCCCTGGAAAAAACACATGGTTCAGTCCTTCCTTTAAGCCTTTGCTCCAATGCAACTTCTCTGTGGGACCTTCCCTGATCACCCGATTTAAAACTGGAAATCTCAGCTGGGCAAGGTGGCTCACACCTGTAATCCCACCACTTTGGGAGGCTGAGGCAAGAGGATCATGCAAACCCAGGAATTCAAGACCAGCCTGGGCAATAGAGTGAGACCTTGTCTCTACAAATACATTTTTAAAATAATAAAATAAAGCCGGGCTCGGTGGCTCAGCCTGTAATCCCACGCCTTTGGGAGGCTGAGGTGAGTGGATTGCCTGAGCCCGCGGGTTCGAGACCCGCCTGGGCAGCGAGACCTCATCTCTACAATAAATCAAAAAATTAGCCGGGCGTGGTAGCGCACCCCTGTAGTTCCAGCTACTTGGAAGGCTGAGGCGGAAGGATCGCCGGAGCCCAGCAGGTTGAGGCTGCGGTGGCCGGGAGCGGCCACTGCACTCCAGTCTGGGCGACAGAGTGAGACTCCAAATCAAAAATAAAAACAAAACAAAACAAAAAATAAAAAATAAAAAAATCATAATAATAAAATAAAATAAAACTGGAAATCTCACCACCCTCAGCTCCAGTGGCTCCATGCCCCTCCTCCACTTTATTTCCCTCCCTAGTACTTGTTTATTTACTTTTTTCACTCACTGCCTCTTTCTACCATATTGTCTGCTCTGGGGAAACACAGATTTCTATCTGTCATATTCACTGTGTATCCCCAAGGCATAGAACAGAGCATGGCTCCAGACAGGTACTCAATAAATACATGATAAATGGATGAACAGAGTTAACTAATTTCACTGCTCTGATATGGGGCATAAACTTGCATCCCTAAATAAATAAAACTGCTGTTTTGTTGTTCAATGAGCTTGAAATAAAAACTAAACAAAAGTTTAAATTAAAAGACCCACAGAGTGGGCACTGTGGCTCACGCCTGTAATCCCAGCATTGTGGGAGGTGGAAGTGAAAGATTTGCCTGAGACCAGGGATTCGAGACCAGCCCGGGCAACTTGGCAAGACCTCGTCTCTACAATAAATCAAAAAATTAGCCGGGCATGGTGTCAAGCACCTATAGTCCCAGCTACTCCAGAGGCTGAGGCAGAAGAACTGCCTAAGCCTAGCAGGTTTAGGCTGCTTTGGCCGTGAGCATGCCACTGCAATCCAGCCTGGGCAACAGAGACTCCAACTCCAAAAAATAAATAAATAAATAACCCACAGTATTTCCCAAAGGTGGGAATTTGCAAATGAGAAGGGATAGTTCACAGTGAGACAGTGCTACGTGCTTTAAAAAATAAACCAATGAGCAGTAACCCCGATCTGCTGAAGTTCTCATGAGAAGCAAAAACACAAGGCTACCATGAGTTACATTCAACCAGCAGCCCAGTGCCTGGGACCTCTGTCCCTCCAAGGACCTCAAAACACTCGTTCATTCACGGAGAATAAGCGTAAAGTGACAGAATAAGTATAAGACCTTCCTTGCCCCGGCCCTTCCTTCAGCAGAGCTGCTACCCCAGCAGGACTCAGACTCTGAGGAAATCATGACCCCTACTACCCGAGTTTAAAAATGAAAAAGATAACCCAGGCACGGTGGCTCAGCCTGTAATCCTGCGCCTTTGGGAGGCTGAGGTGAGTGGATTG